AAGTGTACGCAGTCGACCTACTAAACCTGAATTCAAACTGTGTCAATAGGCGATATTATGCATGTATACATATGTACATCCGGCAATACACTATCTAGTTACTAGTAGCTACATAGTCACTTACATCCTTCTTTGACACGCATAAGCGGAAAAGGGGACGTCGATCGATGATATACGTTGCTAATCGGGCAATAGAGCTCACCGGTACGAGCAATGTAAAATGAAAAGTGTCGCAATTTTTAATTACTAGACCCATGTGCGTGAAAAATGTCTTATATTGATATGGGATAAAAGTATGAGGTATTAAGCCTATTAAATTTATAATTACAATTGTATAATTTTGAATCAATGAAACTCCTAACACGTGACAATGCATTCGACCAAATGTATTTAAAAGAATAACATTTGTAGGTATATCTTTACTTGACAGTTCCTAAGACTTTCCATAATTATTTTATATCGTTTCAAGTGTTTCATTATTGTATGAATTTTCAATTAAAAATGTATAGTCTGATACGCGTTACTTATTATAGTATACATATCAAAACAAAAATGAATTAATTAGTGAAAATTTGTATGTTTTTTAAACAGGAAATTAATGAAAGGGTACTCATTTTTCCGAAATTAAAATGTATTTCGTACAAATTACTCCGTTCGCAGCAAAATAATATACAATAACGGATAATTAAGCATCTTAATGTATTACAAAATTATGCTGAAAAGGTCGAAAATGTTGGTCATGTCTAGAATACAGTATGTGTAGTTTAATTGTTTGTAGCTAGTCAATAAAATTGGAGTTTTCTGCCATTTTACAGAATTTAGAATAATAGAATTTGTAGTTTTTAAAACGAGTTTTAATCGTTTACTTTAACATTTCAGAGTAGAATCAAAGTTTGCTAATCCAAAACAAAGTAAGTTCGTTCATTTATTATTAGACAGCGGACCAGTATGCACATATAGATTTTTATAAAATAATTTATGGAAACAGTCATCAAAGAGAAATTTATTTATGCTGCTAAGGGTTCTACCCGGCTTCAAAAAAAATAAAATCTTCCTTAAACTTCATTAAACATCTCAATATTCCCAGTTATAGATAATCATGTTAAAATTCACAGTATGTATACTTATTAAAAACTCTCATTCTCTTTATGACAATTCTAAAAGTGAATATTTCCGAACGCATGAAGCAACGAAATTTTGATTAACTTTCTTAATACCTCCAATATACAATAGTAGTCTTAAATGATAATTCCCATACGTAGCAACTTAATGACATCAATCAATGAAATCTTTAATCCGATTTGAAAAGAAAATATGTACCGATGATTATGAAAGTGGCCTAAGTCAATTAAATATTTTGCAAAAATGCTTCCGTATTATTGTAACGTAAATCGGTGTGGCACCGAATAAGTGATACGTTCAATTTTTTTAGATTTTTTACTCAGACCACTTTCATAATCACTGACAAATGTGCGAACAATTGCATGCTATTCTCCTTTTCTGCTTTGCACTTTGGAACAAAGGGTACAGATCTAAATACCACTACTAGAAGCAAGACATAAAATTGAAAGTGACGCAATTTTAAGGCTCGGATGGTGTCACGCGCACTGTCAAAGGGGAGTTAGTCGTCGCGTTGCAATGGAAAGACCTCTTTTAAGATGAACATGTAAAACCCTGCGTTGTAGCGATCCTGACCTTTCATCCAGGATACATCATTGCCCCCAGGGCTTTTATTCGTTACAATACAGATATACTAAAATTGATCGGAGTCTCCTTATTCGAATTATGTTACCTTTATACCAATTTTTTAAGAAAATGTTTATATTAATGACAAAATCGTTCCTAATTGTGAATGAACATAACTGAATGACTTACAACTAGATAGACAAGTTAATGAATTCTGTAATTCTAAAATAGATCCAATATTTTTTGTTATCAAAGCAATATTTTTAGTTGTACATTATTATTTAGCATTGAGGCAAGTAGGGTTTCGTCAAATATTTGCAAAGGTTGATGTTCCTTTACTCTTTTAATTTACTTTTCTATAGTAAAGTTCCTCTGGCGTAGTTGTACCATCTCTATGAATAAATTAAACAACATACAGTATATAAACATTGTGTCTAAGTATTTAATATTTAATTAAAAATCTGTAGTCTATAAGAGAAATAAAATAATTAACGGTTTATAATTAAAAGCTTTACCGTGTCTGCAAAATTAGATAAATTATAATTTTCACCATAATATATTTGGAAATGTAGAGACTTTTCTTACACAAATAAACATCTATAGAATATTACCGTCAAAAAAGTATTACATATTATTAAACGCTAGCTTACATTCTATCGTGAGTTTTACTAAATGACACATAAATTAGAACCTTTATTAGTGTTTAGCCAATGTCTTTACTTCCTTGCGTTTTCTTAATTCACATATGCTATAAATGTATAAACTGGAATAGTTTATTTACTATCAACTGTATAAGTAGTTCATGAATACATTCTTCACATGTCATGTGTTTTAATACAATTCTACTCTAATTGAAATATAGGTACATTTCTTAGTAACAATAAAAATATTGTAGGTAAATTGTAATAGATTGAAGGTTTATAAACATTTCTTGCATATTCCATCAGATAGATCTGATATTACTATTTATCAATCACTATTTTACGTACCTATATCAATATGGCCTTCGATTTGTAGAATTTACACACTGACGATCATCGAATAGGACTCACTTCAGCGATGAGGAAGAAGACTCAAGGTCGAAGATGTCTCGCAGCCTCACGGTGTATGATTACCTGTGCGAAATGATCAAATGCGTTCTTAACAATCTGGTACGCCATTCATGGACAACGGAAAATAGTGGACCTCCTTTAATTTCAGACGGAATCACATTTTTCACTCGATCTTTGAGCACTGGTAACTTGAATAAACTTGGATACGTAACACTTTACAATTTACAATTTAAAATTTTTAAAAACAGTTCCAAGATCTTAGAACTCTGTGTAGAACACGTGACGTAAAATTTGTAGACAATAATTGTGTCTCACTTAAAATGATTTTACCAAATCATTTATCTTCTGTGGTAGTACAATGTAATGTATACTTCCTATAAGAAGGCGAAAAATTACATTGCAAAATTATAAGGTACAAAACTAACGCTGACAAGAAAAATAAGAATTAATAGAAGGAAAAAATTCTTTGAATTCTCTGTTATTGTTCATAATTAGTTCATAATTAATTATGAAGTAATTGGCAACGTTAATCGGACTGCATTTAATAACGTGTTTAAATTATACATACCCAACCACAATAGTTATTAAGTACTCTTCCAGCAAAAGACAATTTTAATTTAAGTGCTTTTAAAATATACATTATACACAAGAAAATAATTTATATAATACAAAATATAAGTTGTTTTATTTACAGTTCTTGAGGTAAATTTAAATTTGAAAGAATTTTGTATTCTGACTCGAGTGACAATTTTCTTTAAATAAAAAAATATTACACTAATACAAACAGAAGAGAAATATTTGTAAGTAGAAAACTGATCTACAAGTAATTAGATAATTCACAGTAATAAAAAATCATAATAAAATTTATTAATGGTAAGAGTAGGTATTCAGCACACTAAATTCCTAAAGTTATGGACTAATTATAGTCACTATAAATTAAGGAGATTTAATCGAGTCCCGATGAAAGAGGATGAATTAAATTCTGCATGATGAGAGTAATCATAGATTCTTTATGAGCGTGTATTATATACTATTATTCGCCTTAATTATCAACATAAAAATGTCTTCTATATAATATTTATGTTCAAGCACATTAATTCCTAATATTATCTGAAATGCATTTGCATAAACGTAACAAATTTATTCGAAGTGAACGAAACTCATCTTGCTGTTTATAATTCTATTCATTCTTTTTGACATTACTATTCACCCAATTTTGCCTTTTTATGTTGTTTTAAAAGTTTCAATGAAAATTATAACTTGTTTAGCAAAATCCTTTTTATGTACGTCTGCCATCTTCAAATGAAATAATTTCAATGCTCCATTGTCCATTATACATGTCACAAAGTATATTTCTATAGTATACAACTACATTCGAGCTTTCCTTGATTTACATTCATGTCAATAGATACAAGAATATATCGAACTGAAACGTTCGAGAATTCCTAGATCGCTCTATTAATTAATCTGACATACACTACCGTCCACAAATATTAGAACACCTGGTCTGTACGAAAAAAGTGTGATTGTTCGTAAAAATACATATTTTAGACCACTTTTTTTACTTTACAGTAGCAGAAGCATTGCCCAACGAACTTCAATATTCCTTGAACAATATTTATTCCAATCTTTCAGCAATTTCGTAATGTCTTGTAGCATTTACTTCATATTCGATAAGTGTCCTAACACTTATGAGTAAACTACAGATTGTATGCATTTAGAACATACAGAAGTATGTGAAATATAGTAAACGACAAAACTACCATCGAGTTTAATAAATTTTTCACTTTCTTTTCAGCTTGTTAAAATCGTTAAAAGGAGAACGAATTTTCTATTTTTACTCCCACGTCCCTATAAAAACCCCTTTTTCTGTCAAATACACCAAAAGGTGCAAACGAAAAATCGAAATATCCATTACAAAAACATTCAAATACACGTTCAAGGTAAATGTAACAGTTAATGCTTTCATTGGTGAAACGTGAATCGTAGACACGACATGGGAAGTTGCTTCCGCTAAATTATGGTTCGGTTTGCGGCCAGATCGGTTTCTTAGAAGAAAGGGTATCTTAATGGCCGTCGTCGTTTCCCATTGCCGAAAGTCAAGGAACAGATTTGACTTTTTTTTTGTTCCGATATTAACGGAACGGTGTTAACCCCGAGGGACTCTCACACCGTGGATAGAGAGTAGAGATCGAAGGGGTAGAGGGGACGCGTACATATAAAGGAGAGAGCCCCGCGGCCCGGGGGCTCAGTACCGTTCCAAAGATGCAGGCTGCTGAGATGCTGCGTGGTACCAGGGACTACCTACGTCTTGTGTTCCTAATTTCTCTCGCTATTGGTTATGTCCGTGAGTAACAAGGAATATTCGAAATTCCCGCGTGCTCGAGCGTGCCATTCAAAATCTACATGGTGTGTTGATTGAAACGCCGGCCTGGGCCAAGTGATATACTCTGTGGAAACGACATATTTCCTCTTGACGCTGTTTGTGTGTGATCGGAGAATATTTGTGATTGGTATTTCAATCAATAATAATTGCTCGTTCGTGGAAACATTGATAAAACCGTTAGGCAAGTGTTTCAAACGCAGTAGCCGATAGGAAGGAAAAAGTGTGTAGAGTATTCGTTATTTAACTGTTGAAGTTCCTTCGATCGAATGAATCGCGAACGAATTGATTGGACAGCAATGTCAGTATTAACGCATATAATGTTTTATAGTTAGTGATTGTATAAATAAAAATACAAGAAACATGGTGTACAGTACCATTCAAAAGTGTGGAAGCAGTTAGATACAATCTTAAAAACTCAAGTTACAGATTTTTTATTACAGACGTTCATATGTATATGTACACTTATCATACATGACAAAACCAATTTAAAACTAACAAAAAAACGTATTCTTATGAAATTTTTTACTTCACAAAAATAACCACCTTTATTTTAAATAACTTCCAATCAAATTGTGAACATTCTATTTATTATTTTCTTAAAATATCCTTCTATCTAAATTTTTCCATTCTACATTAAAATACTGCTAGAATTGTGTGGCACACATACATGAAGAATAGAACACGCACACAAGCGGAATATTACGATATAAAGAATTTTTGAGAAATGCTATTACAAAAACGATTTTTTTCTACAGACTGGTCAAAGTATGCAATATACTTTTGTTACCGCCGGTTACTTTCAACAAATTAACAAAGGATGATTTGTTTAACTAAAAAACTAAGACTGCTTCCAAACTTTTGAATGTTAGTGTAATTGCTCATGTATAAGACTATGTAGTACTTAAATCACTTCCTCGTCTGTAATATCATACGGATACCTCATTAAATGCTGCTGATAAATTGTATAGCATAGTGTGGGCATAGATGCTTTAATTAAGAAATTCAAAACTTAAAATCAGTTTGTTCACTGCAAAAGTTACCAATTTTAGAAAGTATTCTATATTTGACTTTATTACGTAAATGTGTTTGTAAGTAATAAGAAACTACCGATTTATCAACTGAAGTAACTGTGGAAGTGTTTGGTGTCAATGAACGGATAAACGGACCATGTATCGTCGTAAGTAAGCAAATTTTACGTATTTTTAATTGGATCCTAAATCCTTACAGATTCGTTACCACTTCAAATACTACCCAACATCCCAGGTTACATCCCTGTGTATATAAGGCATGGGGATCAACCTTTGGAAGAAATAAATCCCGCGTTAGCGGAGGCATTCCATGAAGGACCGAATTTACCTAAGGTAACGTGACTCATTTTAATCGAAAATAGAGCGAATTCGGTGTTCCAGCAACTACTATTAATTTACCTTGATAATACATATTTACTGGAAATGAAATACCGATTATTCTTTTCCAAAAATACTAGTAGAAGAATTTTTCGAAATAGTTACTGCAACACAAATTTTGCTAATAACTTCGAAATTACTATACAGGGTGTCCTGGGTGTCCCATACAACTGGGACAAGCCATAGCGTTAAAACGGTAGAGGATAGAAAATATTTTTATTGGGAAAAATTAAATGGTTTCGAATCATGCATCATGTGGTCTATGTGTCTTCTCCGAAAATGGAGACGTTTCAAAAATGTCAAGGCCCATTTTTTTTAAATTGTATTACAGATTTGTTCATACACTATTCGATGCTATTTTTAATTCTCTATAAAATAGTTTCTGGTTCTTGGGTCGAAAAATGATTAGTTTATAAGATATTTTAACTTCAGTTTCTTAACATTGTATAATATTGGACATAGGCTTGAACGTTTCTTCTCTGTCTTCGCTTGTGTTTATTGATTTTACTAATTTTACACTTTAACCTAATAAATTTTCAACCCAAATGCCCCAATACTTTTTGCTAGAGAATTAAAAAATGCATCGAATGGTGTATAACAAAATCAATAGTTCCATTTTAAAAAAATAAAGGTGACCTTGAAATCTTGGAAACGCTTCCACTTTTGGAGGAGAGACATGCACCATGTGATACATCACCCGAAACCATTTAATTTTTCCTGATGAAACATTTCTTCTATTTTCTACCGTTTTAACACTGTGATTTGGCCCAGTTGTGAGACACCCTGTATTTCTACAACTGTATTTCATTAATTTTCAATGTTAAATTCATCCATGAATTATATTTTCAGATATTTCTAGTCAAATGCATTAGGTGTACAAATAAATAATTCGCCACTTTTTTTAAATCATGAACTACGTCTTTTTCCGAATTTTCACTCATTAAAACTGACGTAGGATTGTTAAAAAATTATTATGATTATAAATGAAATAGTATAGATCTTTGGTTTTCAGAGAATCGATTTTTGATTTCATTGAGAAACAGTGCGTTACTTATTGCTACACCTAACAAGTGACGTATATGTATATGTATAACTTACAGTTACATTTTTTCAAAATTTTGAAACCGATTTCTTCCATGGTCAATTAAATGTTTGGATATTACATTACAGGCTATCAACTTAGCTAATGTTAACGGTCCCACAGATATCAGTTTAGAGGAAGACGAGACGGACAAAAACAATGTAGAGGCTATACGTATTAGACAAGTGGATAACAATTTCTCTGATGAAGAGGAGAAAATGAAAGACCTGACGAAAAAGGCTACTGATGTAGACATATTAAAGCAAAAATCTATCTCAGTGCCCGTGGTAAAGGTGACAATTCTGTTTATTCCTTTTTTTGCATTCACTAATATAAAATAATTTTCAATTCGAATTTTCACATTATTTAACATCGATATTCTTAGAATGCTTTCACTAACAACAATGAATGTTATTTCATGGTGTGTGCGTACGAACTAACAGCAACCGACGTGACAGTTCCAAGAAGCACCATCACGAGGCTGAATGTATTGTGTTCGTAGCTTCTTCTGTATATGTATATTTTTTTTCAATTGACGTCGCGTACAATACCTAATCTGAACAAGAAATCAGTGAATCATCAAATCGATTGTCCTTTTAAGTCATTGTATCATACAGTATTAATAGTAGTAAATTACCATCATCGGCGAATATCCTGTAGAGATTTTAAATACCTTTGCGTCTTGATGAACAACGAAGAGACAAACCTTTTCGTTTGACTTTTCGTCATGAATTATACTTAAACAACATCAGTGATGTCAAAATATCTCATTAGACAAACCTATTAGGTACTCTGAGATTCAGACAATTTACATTTTCAAATATTCAAGACATAAAAATTATTTCGAGATCGTCCAACCTTTATTACAATGGAACCTTGTGGTTTTTCACAAGTTTTTCCGACTGTATTATAAAATTATGTAATATTAAATTAAACTAAAAAATCATATTTGGAGAGTATTCAGACTTGATATCCTGTAAATAGTGATCTCGTGTAACAGTAATTTTTATCATATTGCAAAAAGCTTTTTTCTAATGCAATAAATTGTTGGTGTACTATTTAAGAATCGAGCTTAAAACAAGAACGGATATGGATGATGCACAATTTCAAAGATGTCGTTAGGAGATTTCTATGACAAATGTACACATTACTCTATGATTTTTGTCGCTTGACAGTATGAATTACGAGCGACAAGAATCACAGGGAGCTGCTTACGGAACCGGTCACTAGGTTTTATGCCTGCGAAATATGTCTTCCGTCTCTTGCTCACGTTCAGATCTTTGAAATCATTTTTACCAAACCGGAACCTTCTATGCAAAATAATTATTCTACAATTGTAGGAAACATTACATACCTTACCTATATCTCCTCGCCAATTGTTCGCCATTTACGACACTTAAATAACTAAAATGACTAAGTATTCTTAAAATCTTTCTTATACATTTATGTATAAAAAAAATGAATTTAATTTAAAAAATTATAGTAACACTTCTTATCGCGCTTTATGTGTCTCACTATGCATAGATCTTTAATCTGAACTATTTCTAAAGTACTATTTCAAAAAACATCATTTTCGAACTTACAACTGAAGTTATAATTTTATTTTTAGGTCGTTCCATTGACAAAAGAAGAAGAGGACGCTCTGGCAAAAATACTCACTGAAGCGAAAGAAGAGTCGAAACATTTAAGTGATATGCATGATTCAAATTTGAACATATCAAATCTAAAAGAAAATGTACCATCCTTTAATCCGGTTGTGAAATTTGATCAAATAGTTTTCGACGAGTTGGCCAATCCTAATCTTCCCCCAATCAAAGAGGTTCCGCAAACTTCCATGGAGGTAGATGCTCCTGTGTCTGCACTTATAGACGATAAATTACCTATTAAGGAACAATCTCTTCCAAATGTTTTATCCAACGTACAGAAAGTCACTGCTTCGCCAGAAATATCAGTTCAACTAGAGAGGAAACGGACAAAGAATCAATCTTTAGAAGAGAAATCTAAATGAAACGAATAGTACTGTCGTTAGTGAGACTTATTTATATTAATACGAAAGATATAGAATTTTGTGATACATACGTGTTTAATAGATCGTACGATTTAATTTCTTAACGGCAACTGTTAACTGTCAAATTACGTTATTGTAACTTGTTGACTTAGAATTGCTCGATGCGTTTAATGCGTATAACGTATAAGTATACACGTAAAATAATACAATACACTAACACTTGAAAAACATAATGCGTTATTGAAGCGATTTTAAGCGTGTTAAATTATTAAGATATGAAATTGAATAAAATATTTGAAAATCTGTTAAAATCGATAAAACCAGTTTATTTCGTTATAAAAACTACACAGAGACTGACGCAGATACAATTACATTGTTTGTATTCCTTGTTTAGTAAACGAAAGATAACGGATTCGAAGTTATCACCGGGGTATTCAAACATCCTACAGAGAGGATCGTTCTCTTGACAGTTTCTTATCGACTCCCTCCATCCTCATTGACTTTCCGTTCGTCAGAAATAGTTTCCCGCGTCTCTATTCTATAATCGTTGTCAGCAGCGTTTAAAACAAGTAAAGCTGGAATCACGCTAAAGTTGCTTTTAGCAGTCTTCGGAGCAAGTTTTGCAGTCTTAAAAATACTATCGTTGACGTTTATATCCAAATATAAACGCCGATCTTGAAGAAATCTCGTACTCGATAGAATAAAAGTCTTATTCCCGTATTTACAAGCGAAAGCCGGCAGATTTTCCTTGGCTTCTGGTATGTAAACATCGCGGATAGCTCGACAGTGCACATTCGGTGGTTTTATCTGTTTCTTCGAAGTGATCAGAAAATTTTTGTCTTCACTGTAATGCCTTTCTTTATTTTCCTCCATTTTTCTCTCAATATGAAAATTTTCGACACTTTTTGACGTATTATCAACCAATGTTGCTTTTAGACTACGATCCGTTTGCTCTGGGGTAGCCACTTGAATTTTTGCAATTTTCGACAAAGAAAAGATTAAGCACAGTTCCTTACTTGAGTACGGGCATAGTTCTTTGAAACGATTATTTCCGCTCAATACCGTTGGTTTCTTTTCACTGGAATGCTCAGAAAAAGTTTCACTGTTCACTGCTTTACTTCTTAATTGTTTAAGATCGATTATTTTGGGATTATTTCTCTCATTTCCGAGTGCATAGGTAGCATTTGGAGTGCTATTTACAACAGCGAACTTGGGAATTCGATCTTGTATCGTCCTACCCTCACCGAGGAAAATAAGAACTGTCAACATCACGACAAAGAAAAATCGTTTGCGAAGCATTCTAAGAAGAATGGACAACTTTCCACGTTGCCTTTCGTTTGGGTACCGTTTCTTCTAGCGCGACTGGTTCTCGGGTACAACAGCCCTTGTAACAGCACGATGGACACTGACTGTGACAGAAAAAAACAATGTTCCTGTGAGCGCACAAACGAGCAAGGTGCACAGATACAGAAGATTGGCCCGTTCTGTCCACACTGTTCATTTCGTGTGCACTGACCTTATCTCCTGTTTAGACGACGCTCGAATACCGTCGAATTCTGACCTATCTTTCGAAGAATTTCACTTCAACTTTGATCTTATATTTCGAGGGATGTTTTGAAGTAACTGATTTTCCAACGGTAATTCATTATAATATGCTTTGATAAGGATAATATGAACAGATTTCTATTATGTACAGTTGAAAAGATCGAGAAAATGTGAATTAATATAAAATGTTCATTTCTTTTTTACAATTTTATTTTATATTTTGTAATTTCAGTTTTGTGCTCTAAATACATATATTCGCTGTAAGTTAAATTCGTATTTCGATGATTTTAATTTGGTTTCTCCGATTTCGTGATTTTTCTTACACGTGATCAAAATTCATTAATTTTTATTTGCCCGTGATATTCATTTTTGGTTTTTTGTTTTTCTAGAAGTATTTATTATTAGCAGTCGAATAAACAATTAAATAAAAATAAAGTATCTTATTAATTAGTAAACAAAATATGTTGAAAAATAATAATTATATTTAATATTTCTGAAATGTTGAAAAATAATAATTATATTTAATATTTCTGAATGATCACTTTCCATTTAAGAAGTTTTGAAATTTTTAATTTTGATACGAACTTTACTTGCAGCTTATGGCATTTATTATATAGTACATTAATAATAGAGATGGCAATAAAAATAAGGTGAATATTTTTAGTTGAATCACTACATAAATTGAAATCGTTAGGAAAACTTTATCCGACTTAATTTTCGAAACTGAATGTTGTCTGAAAAATTGTTTGAGCAGAAAATTGTATCATGAACATGAATGTCAACAGTGCATATATAGATACATATACAGATCTTGAAATAAAGAAACAAATATGTACAAAGTAAATTAACTTATTTTATTATTAAAATAGAAATGTTGCTTTACATATATGTATGTAGTTGTAAATACATGCGTATGTAGTTGTGTGCGGAAACATTAATACCTTATCAACAATAGATATACGATATTATTCCTGACGAGAACTTGTAGAGTACTGCCCTCGCGTTGTATCATTCGAAACTACAAACGTCTAGATTTTGAGAATTTAGTATCGAATTCAAAATTCGAAATTTAAATAAAATATCGATTAATATCAACTTTGTGTTTAAATTCAAGTTTCTTTTTTTGGAAATTTTTTGGACTGTTTAATATGAACTGAAGCCGATAAGATGAATTGGTGACGCTACTGGCGCGGCACACGTGCGCAATGTGCAGCAATGTGATGTCAACAATTTGTAACGTAATATGTGAAATGTGCGTTTTATATTGCACGTATTTAAAGAAAATGCGAACATGTTACGGGTGTCCACGCATTATTGACACAATGATGCGATTCTGTGTTTGATCTTAAGTAGGGAGCGAAATTATATTCTATCAGTAATTGTCGATTCAAATTTTTTACGTGTGCCGAATACAGTCATTATCTTTTGTCAACATTTTAACAAGTATTCCGGGATCTGTTCATTAATAAGTGAAAGTAAATTCAGTTTTTGTACAAAATTGATACTGTGAATAGTAAAGTGGTGAAAATACAGTACGAAAATGGTACTTAACCTCAAAATTTTCTAGCCCTGCTGATTAATTTTTCCTACATCACCATACATCAACGAATGTGAAACAGTTGTAAAATTTAAACAATATGGCGGGTCAACAACATCCTTTCCCATCTGGGTTTCCTAATGTACAACAATCTGCCATGCGAACACAATTTGGTGGAGGGCAAATGGTATCTGGATTGATGGGACCACAGCAAGGTGGTAAGTACATCTGAATAAAAAAAAATAACTAATATTTAATGTTGAATACTGGGCAATACAAATTTTTATAGGCATGGTAAGCCCTCAACAATTTGGTGTTGGTGTGGGTGTAGGAGTTGGTGTAGGTGGAGTAGGCACAAATGCTATGGGTATGCCCAATGCTCAACAAGTATTAGCACAGCAGCAACAACAACAACAATCAGTTGCAATGCAACAACAAATGCAACAGATGCAGCAGCAACAGTTACAACTGCAACAGCAACAGCAAGCTGCCATGGTACAGCAAAATAATCAGACAAGTAATCAAGCCACAACACCACAAACACCTGTACCACCTACACAACCACCACCTCAACAACAACAAACTAAGGAATTCAATACTGCCAGTTTATGCAGATTTGGACAGGAAACTGTGCAAGATATTGTCAGTCGTACTCTAGAAGTTTTTCAGACGTTGAAAGTTTTACAACCACCAAATGGTATTTATAAGTGAAATCAACAAGTTTTACGCAATCTGTGTTTGATTGTATGTTTAACTGACAATTAAAATTTTAGGCATGGCCCAAGGAGCAAGCTTAGCTAATGAGAAAAAGAATAAAGTACAAGAACAATTAAGAACACTAAAACTATTGTTCAAACGTTTAAGACTGATTTATGAAAAATGTAATGAAAACTGCCAACTACAAGGCATGGAATATACACACATAGAGAGTTTAATTCCTTTAAAAGAAGAATGGGATATGAAATCTGATGAGAAAAAAACATCAGAAGCATACAGACTCGCTTGTGAAGAAAGCAAAGAAATTATGGAGGTGAGTTATGGTTTAAAAATCAAAATATAACATGAATTATTGAATTTCGGTAAGTTATAAAACTATATTTCATTTTTCCAGCAAGTTGTATTAAAAAATAGGCACCTTAAAGAAATCATTGATCACTTAAGACGTATCATTTCAGAAATAAATACAATGTTAAATATGCGACGATCCTAAGCTATAAATTGTACATAAATATTTGTGTAAGTTATTATAAAAATGTTTTAATAAATAAAAATTTATTTCCTATGTAAAATAAATGTAGAGATATTACTTACCTATATTTGAGAATATTATTGTGTAGTCTTAATATCTTTCACATCCATATGAATAATGTCATTTGCTCTCAAAACTGCTTCTGGAATTGTTCCTAATGGTGTTTCCAGGTTACGTACATAGACTTCTAAACAGTTTATGTCACAACCTCGAAATTCAGCAGAAACATGAGTGTTTTCATGTAAATAAAAGTCTGCTTTCCTGCCTGTAACATATAAAGGCTGAATTTAAAACATAATTTAATTGACATGATATCAAAGTTTTAACAGTTTTTACATGAAACTTATTTTCAAGTATTAAATAATTTGTTGGACATATTTTTTATTGCAGGATTATCGACAACTATTCCATTTTACAATTTTTATTAATAGGTAATGAATTCAATTCGAATTAAAATAATTAAGTTCGCGCATTACAAAATGCACTTTGATGTCGGCGCCATGTTCAATTAACCTCGTGATTAATTAAATCGAGTGAACCAAAACCAATAAACGTAACAATTAATAAACGTGCATGGACTTCTATGACATAAAATATTTTTATAAAACCAAGTCTAAACAGAGTAACAAATGGGACTGAAAATAAAATCGTCGTACCAACAATTCCAGTCATCACTCGCAGAAATCGCTCGCGCAGATATGCACGAGCTTCTTGTTTTTCCGGAGTCGCAAAATCTAAGTTAGTATCATTATCATTTAATGTCATGTTGTCTTCAAGTGTACCGGTCATTTTCTCAGAATAATTGTCCAGCACCTAGAGTAAATATCTGTCCTATGGCGGAATTAAAGCCAACTGCGTGCGCAATATCTCTATCATACCCGCCAATTTTGAAAGTTGTTGCACTATTACTTGCCAATGTAGTTAAGCATATTAAATAGGAAGTAATCACAAGTACGTGCAAAATACGTTTAAAATATTTTGATAAATCAGTTAAAACGTGTAAATAATTATGTACTTTTATCAGCATGGAATAATTATAACCCCCGACGATATGCACTTCCCTAAATGAAACATTTCATAGTAGTCACCCACATATCCTAATGAGGAAGTTTGGATCAACGCAATTAACATATTTCTAACGATATCTAAAGAACACACTTTCACAGAGTGGAACATGGGGGCGACCCGCAGGTTTATCATTTTTTTAAAGAGCTTCCTTAGTTTCACTTCAGTCTCGCTCCGACCATCGTACAGTAAAAATGAACTTCTTGGTCTTCGTCTTCTTAATTACCACAATTTTTTGTAATAGTGAGTATATTATATAATTATTAATATATGTTTGCAAAGGTAGAATATTTTATTAATACATCCTACTTGTTCTTTTAGAACTATGTTGCAACACTGTGACCACAACAAATGATCCGAAGACGTTTCGGAGGTCGATAGAGATGTCATCGGTAAAGAATGATGAAATTCAAACACAAGAGATACAGGGCTCGTGGAGAGATATACTGCTGCCAAAGCAGAGTTCATCCAAAAAAGAAGAGTTAAAAAAAGTTGGAAGTACAAATAGCGACATACCGAACAGAAAAAGTAAAATCTTAGGAAGTTTGGCTTTTCTAGCCGGTTTAAGTATTGGTGGTTTAACGAGTGCAACGTCAACTGTGAAAACGTATGCTAAGCCTCCACCAGTGACATTAAATTTTGATGCTTCTCGAGTTTCACCACACATTGGTCCGATTTACGGTCCTTACCCTTACGTGTCGCATCCTTACATCTTTGCCACTCCTTTAGGATTGTATTCTATACTGAATCCTCTGAGTTTACAACCAATCGGTGGCATTCAAAATGATCTTCAAGCATTGACTCAACATACGCAAGTACTGAATTTGTTAGATAATAAAAAACCAAATGACCTGTTAAACAACAATGAGGAGTATATAGATGTGGCCAAGAAGGTTGAGAATGTTAAAACTTCGAACACCGTTGAAGAAGAGGCTAGCGAGGGTGCAGAATCACAATTTGCAGACGATCGGAATGCGGAAGAGGAGGTAAGCATTTAGTATTGTGAATAAGTAGAAATTATTGAGAAAAAGGAAACACGTAAAGTTTTATTGTATGTACAAATTGTTTAATACGACGTAAAATTGAAATATATGTATTTTACTGAATAATTTAAACAATTTAGAAATGTTTTGCTGTATGCATTTATCTGATATTACTTGGTACCCATAACGTTTACTAGTTATAATACAGTTAAGACTGTTATTTTCTATTTTCAACAGAGAAATTTTAAGATATTATACAATAAAAGATAATACAATCAGAAAATCAGAAACTATTAAGATTCTTTCAAAACTGATAGGATTTTTTTATTTTGTGAAGTTTATATACCTTTGTAACGCAGCAAGTGTAAATACAAAAAAATTATAAAGATCATCATATAAAAGTGTTTCTTTTGCAAGAGAGATCCATGTCTCTCATAATGAAATTCTTATAAAACTGAATTGCATTTGCTTTGATTCTTTGACATAATCTACAGCAAATATCAGTTTGTAGAAGTCAGTCCTTTTCTTATGTATTATTCATATTGAACTTTTAATTTCATAATGATGTGTTTCAATTAAATCTGTATTATTAATATGCGTCTTTCCGTTTCATTATTAATTTATTGGTGACTGACAGATGTTGAAACCTGGGACAATCTGCAGTAAACAAAAAGGATATAAGATGAAACAGAGCACTTCGCTGAGAGATGAATCCGTGGAACGTGAAGGTGGATGGAAGGATTCATTAGTAATTTCCAGTTTTCGGGCAAAAAATAGAACGAGAAAAAATTCTACTCTTTCTCAGCTCCCAGAAAATGGAACTGTTGTTTTCACTACGACAACGAAGAATATGGAAAATTCGACGGTGAATGACACAACCACAAGTGCACCCTTTTACGGATACTACGGTGGATATCCGCAAGATATACATCACATAGCCTTTACTACGGAAACAAACGAATACAAATATCACGATTACGACCCTGTTAATTATAATTTACCATCATACGGTAAACCGGCGAACTTTCACTCAGACGAAAGGTACAATTATTATGCGCATCCGCCTCCTGATTCTTCGGTGACGAATGAATTTCCTCAGGAACAAATTCCTGAATACTTCTCCCATGATTTTAATAGATACTTATACACACCATACAATACACCACCATTCGCTAACAGCGGTTTCAGACCCGTTGTCTAGATCACGTACTGTAACAGGTTTTTTAAAAATGTAAAACACGTTCATAACAAATATTATACGTAACACCTTCCTATTGCAAAGATAGAATTAAGCTTGAAATTAAATAAACTTGTTAAATTAAATTTTAGTGTAATTATATTGTGTCGCATTGTTAAATTTATAAATATTTTGTGTAATTAATTTCTCTGTAATCCATGCTTAACATGTACACTAATTAAGTGTAAATAATTACGATCTCCGTGCGTTATAATAACAATAGTACTGACTATGCGTGACCCAAGGTAGGACACAGTGATAACAACAGACGGTTTCACTATAGTAGTGACAGAATTCTGCTAACAAGCACATCTGCAACGAGTTTAGAAAACAATTTTAATTAAACGTGATTTCATGTACCGTGCAAAAATGAGGGTGTTTTTGTTATTTTTTATATTTCAGTGTAACATGTCAACTAGTAAGTATACATTAGGAATATGTAAGCATGTAATTCTATTTAAACAAAGAAAATCGAATGGAAATAATGAAATTCAGGCGAACCTATTAAAGTATGGGGAAAAGATTAACATTCTAATGAGTAATGCATGTAAAGAATATATTGAATTCCATTAAATACAACGTATGTAGGTAAGATTTCAGTAGAATTTACAAACAAAATTTGTAAACATTATTAATAGTCCTTGTTCGTGAGGTGGTTTACGTAATGAAGTTGTAATAACAAATTTTTTAAGTGTCATTATCGCATTCCTCAACGCTAGAACACCGTATTATTTAATATTAATTTTTCTAGAAATGTATTCAATGGTTGTCGAGGATGACGTCAACGACTTATCAAACGGATTAACGACATTTTCACCATTGTCTAACGAAGTCACTAAAAACACGTATTTGACGTTGAATAAACAGAATAAACATCGAGGGTCATTAGTAGGAAAAGAATATAAACCCTATACAGAGATTCGTTCTTTAAAAATTAGTCAAAATGATGGGAAACATAAAGACCAAGCAACATTATTGAGTTTTAATGATTCGGCTGTAAACAAAAGCGACGCAAAATATCGTAGTTCAGTTATCACATCTCCGAGCATGTGCTTATTAATATTACTATCTGATTCAATCAGAAAAGAAAGAACATTGTCCAAGCATGTATTTGACGAACGTTTGAGAAAAAGAAATACTGTTGATAAAGGTGATAATGCAATCAACGTTCTATCGAGGACAAAGCAAAAGAAAGCGAAAGCATTAGGTCGTTTACTATTGAACAACGTTTCGAACAAAAATGACGAAGATTTTCAAGACGATTATATCGAAGACGAGGGCGACGATTATTCTGAAGATGAAAACAGAAACAAGATGAATTGGGAAGATTATCAAAACGAGGATGGTGCAACTGTAATGGAGTTAATAGCTTTGGACGCAAGACATAAGAAACATATGCGACAAACTTCTAAAAATGATTATCTGTATTAATGATAACTTATTTTAATTGACTGGACTATAGTCTTAATATTGTGTAAATTTGTAATGTTAAGTTTTATATTCTTTTAGAAATACAGATTTAGTAGTTTATTACGGTCTGCAAGCCCTCGTGCTGCTATTAATTTCATTACAATTGTGTGTACTAATATAATTACACGTAAACTGTGTTGTAATAATTACGTTTCATATGAGATATTCTATTTAAGTGAATTCGTGTTCAAGATATTCTGAAGTATGACACAACAGCGAAAAGGAAAGAAATTCACTTAATCCATATACACATAAATCCAATATTATCACACAATGTGATTAATAATAATCTATAAAATAATGCACAAACTAATTGTAAGAGATAACGACAATCAAACATATATTTATACTTTTTCATTTTTACTTTGCATATTTCGAGAAACTTTTTAATCTGATAAATCATGGAGTACTTATTTTGTATATTCCTTGTCTCCCTTTCTGCATATTAACGAACTCTGTCAATCAAATGTCAATGTGTAATGAAACGTTCAGAATTTCGATATTAATGATGTGCTTCTATTAGCAATGTTACGTGCCCTTGATAATGTAATTCATATACATTAACAAAATATACGTCTCTCTGTTCTTTGTGAAATACAGTTTGTTTGGACAATTGCTCGTGGATTGCACAGTTGTCTGTGGTTGTTTTCTGCGATCGTAGCGAAGAAAAAATCGTGAGCAATGTGTCACTATAAAACCCAGTGATAAAATCTAAATCGTGGTCCTTTTTTTTAATTGTCGATTAATCAGGGGATTCCTCTAACAGAGCCAATTGGACAGCATGGTTCGCAGGGAAGAAACCTGTTTTATTTTCGGACGAGTTTGGAGGGCTGGGCTTCTCGTCTATTTCGAGAAGGCCGCCACTGCTGGTATTGTGTCTCGAAAGACGCGGATACTTTGCAACTTTCACGTATAATTCTTCAAAGAGAAAATTTTCTTCCGTTGTTACTTCTTCAATTATGTTGTGTCAAGTACCAGCGCTAATGAAGGAAACTTTTTGCAAGTAACGTTAAACGAATATTGACAACTATCGACACTGAAATTCTTCACTGTGATTTAGATAACTAAGCTATAAACACAAAAGAATTAAAATTATCAACAAAGCAAAATGTATAAGATTTACACACATTAAACAATTTTATTTATATATTATCCAGCGACAGGTTTTTGCAGTTTATAAAATACTTTATAAAGGCATTGCGATTTTACTTTGCATAGAAATTTGAATTCAATCGACTAAGGGCCATATTTTCCGATTAAAATCATTACAAACTGCTACTGGTGTGGCTGCAATAATTTTTACATGGTTCGAATGTTTTCAACAGAGAACGCACGAAGTGTGCGCAAAAACTACGCATACTTGGTTATTTCGAAGCTTAATATATGTATCGAGGTAGGTCCAATACTGGCACGGCATTGCGTGCGTGATTATGCAATAAGCAAATAGGAAATGATCGACTTCCTTCACGGAAGTGTTAAAGTCTTTTTTGGGACATAGATAAAATCACAATGCTTAACGCATATTATCCTTTAGAATTCCCATAGCTTATCTGTTTTTGAAACGAAGTAAAATGTGTAACACTTATTTATAATATCTACTCAATTAAGTTAACGCGAAATTTCTAGTTTTTTTCAGCAGTAGGTTTTCAATTCAATTCTTTAACTTTTTTCGCATATACGAATTTGCAATATTTTAAGATATAACTGCACAACTTCCAATTGGTCGCCAGGGAAGTATCTATGCGATCAGATTAGAGCATGTCTCTTTAAGTCTAAATATATTCCGGGTATCAGGGTTGAATGCCCTAGGATTTCCGGTCTTCATCGTACGCACTTTGGTTTTCCGTTTTTTTTCTCTACTTTCAGCACAAGCACTCGCATCTCCTCGTTTCTCGATAGTGTCCCTCCTCGCGCCGTCTCTTTCCACGTCGCTCCACACACGATTTTTTTCCACACGAAACCCAATAGCCTTGCATCCTCTAGGACACTTCAGGACTATTTCCTGCGTGTCAGACAAGCCGGATGAGAAACCGCAAATGTAAACCCCTACAACGTATTCTAGTGACACGATAAACGGGCAACACTTACTGTATGCAAAATTCAAAGAACCAACAACCGAAGTGACATAATTCCGATCAATAAAGCATTACAAGTTCGTTAACATACATTGACTGTCAAAACATGACTCATGGTAACATAGGCATATAATAATTTGGGATGAGATTAATGTAAATCCTATTAACAATTTAGATACTTTAATAATACGATCTAACTTCCTCAAACTATCGATATTTAAACAAACATACTCAAACGTATTTTAAAGAAAAAGCATCTTCCGTTAAAATTTTTGGAAACTTATGCCCCCCCCCCTACTTTCTAACGCTGTCTATGTTTGTAAATTTCCCTTATAATTAAAGGAAGACACTGGATCATCTACAATCAGTTAAAGTTTTCCGGTGTTGCGTGAAACATTACGCGGATTTTGAAATTTATGAAACGAACACCCTATTCGTATACAATGAGGGTGTCGCGCCACTCTTTTAAGGTGCTCGTTTCGACGTTCCTTAAGGGTGCGCCTCATAGATCTACGCAACGGCGCAGCAACAGCATGTAGGTATAGCCCATGAAATATTCTATGGACACACGCGTTTCAAACTTTGGTGCACGTGCATACAGAGAGACAGAGTGGGTCGTTCTGTGTGGTAAATGCACCACGCTCGGGTAAGAACCCCGGGCTTCATGCACGAGGGACGAGAGAAAGAGAGAGAGAGAGAGGAAAGAGACAGCTGTGGGGCAGCTGGCAGCGCGTGCCACGAACCTATGGGGTCTCTTTCAAAACGTGGACGTCGGTGATATCCTATACTTTGTGACATGCAACTAACGGCATGCTTCGAACAATACGATGAACAGAGGCTACTGATCGATCCCGGATCGAGGAAGATGTCCATCAGATTATCCCTTTCGCGATTATCTACAAGGCTGCTGAAAAGACTACCTCCGGTTTTCCGATTGTCCTTGAAGATATCCTGCACGTTGGTTCAAAACTTTCAATGCTCTATTCAAAATGGAAGGAAAGTAGAAAGAATTCAATAATTCGAAAAACGATTAAAATAGCATAAATGAAATGTACAATATGACGATTTAATCATTAAGAGTTGAAAACGTCCGTGACTCTATAAAACAGTTAAAAGTGGTGAGATATTACTAACAGAAAGACAAGCGAAGACAGTTAACGTTAGAACTTTCTTTCAATTAACTGTTAATGAACAAATGAAAAATGAGTTTCATAGTTAAATTTAATTTAAAATTTTAAACAGCAATTATAGTATATTTTAAATACATAACCTAAAAATATTTAAATTGAACAGATCTGTGAATAAATGATCGATTTTAGCAAGAATTAATCATGTAAGAAATTATCACAGATAATAAGATAAAACTTTGTCATAGTAAAATTCATTTGTTCTGTCTCTTTTATCTCAATTTTAGAGTATTTACAGTATTTTCAAAATAAAGGCTTCGTTACAATAGAATTAAAACAAAAGTGGTAGTTATACCAGGTTAACAGCGAAGAAAAGTATTTTCATTTCACTAATTTATAACACTCTATATTCAAGTTCATAAATAAAATTATCCTGAAGTAACTGAGACGTTAACGCTTCATACATGTATACAATATGTATTAGAGAATAAGCCGTTTATTCTTCTTCATTTAATTGGTTCCTTGTATTTGTGGAAAGCGTGCAGAAGATACTAATATGTATTGTGCGAGACCGGACAGGACGTTGGGCTTCCTTGAAAGTTTTTCACCCGCTCCAAAGAAAAGAGATCAGCGGGTTCAAAACCTTCGGGGGAGCGTTTCAAGTCAGTGAACATCTGCCGTCGTCTGCAACGATAATAATTCGAACAGCTGATACTCCACGGCGGACCACCGCCTTGCCTCATGGATCCTGTGGATCGTTTCGAGCCGGTATGTTTCGAAGACTTCCGAATTTCTGGCACCGCCACCTCGATCTTTCCCAGGTACGTAAACTGCCCGTTATACTTTTGTCGGGAAAAATTGGCAGTTATTGTAACAAAACAGAAACAATGGAGCCAAAGAGAAACAAGGAAAAGCGGCATCGTATGGTTAAGAACTAACAGACAACATCCATTGTTCTCTAACTGAAATAAAACGAATGAATATCGGGTCTACTAATAATACTTTCTAGAGCATAAAAGAAATTGTTGCGAATGAGTACTATTTATGAACAAATTCTTACGAACTACAGTTACAGGAGATGATCTTTTATTTTCGTACGAATTCGCAATATGTCAGTCACTTCAATAGGATGAAATGTCGAAAGATTTGTCAACACGTCGTCACAGGCCGATTCTACCGCCTCGCGCGTCACCCGTACCTCGTCCAGCCGCCGTTACGCTACGCTACTGGCCAAACAGCGATGGTGGGGGCAGGCGTCAACCAATGGGAGCAGAAATCACGCAGGAACCCGGCGAACTGGCGTGCGGCACGGTAACTTAAAGGTAGTTTGGTACTCGCACGTGGGCCTTCGTTCGTGTCGGATGTGTGCACGCAGGGAAAATCGCCAATTTTAAAGACATCAGTTTTATCACGGTACGTGTCGTCAGTGCGTCGCGCCGAGTTGTCCGTACGTATCGTCGTCAGCCGTGCGAAATTTTCGTGAACAGTTCTGATCCGTCCGTGGTAGCAAGTAAAAAAAATTCAATTCGTAAAACGCGAGCAGCTGTTGTCCCCCCGTGTGCATTTGTTGATCCCACCACGCAGTCGTTTCACGTCGACGATTTAATATCATCCTGTTGGCAGAAAAAGGAGTTACTCTTGGTGTGAAATTCCTTCCTGGTGTTTCTTGTGCGGATTAACTACGATATATATCATATATTGCAAGTGCATCGGGTAATACAGTGCGCCGACGAACTTGATAGGTGCGTATCAAAACAGTCTCTTTAATTCTATACAAATATTTTGATGCAGCTTGATTGCTCAATTACGTACGTGTTTGATGCTCGAGAACGCTTTGGCAAGTTATTATCAGAGTGGGTGGGAGGGGAGGATCGTTAAGAACACGTTACATTACACAATGAAAAATTCATGCTTTTTTCGGGAATTCCACAATTTATACATAAATAGTTCAACATTTGTAATCGGGTGAACGAATCCTTTGTCGTGTCGCAAAAACTTTTTATTCAATGAATGCAACAGAACCCACGCATTAATAATGTCTGAATGGTATTAGGCTACTGCGAATTTTTTCGCTTCATTATAATTCGGTTCTGGAAATGCTGTTTATCCAATGGCCAAATGTTTCAGCGTGGCTATCTGGTGCGTTCATAAAACGATCTGCTTATTCTCTCGGTAGCTCTTCTTTCACCCCTATTGCAGCGGTCTCGTCGCGACAAAGGGGTACACGACGGACGGGCACGTGTACCACGACGTTTATTAATAAACCTTAACGTCGGCTCGACGATTTCTCTTTAGCAGAAGGCATGGAAACGCGTGCAGGTGATTACAGCTGTCTGGCGTGAAGAATTAAGGAAGCATCGTTCAATTATTTTGTTTTTTTTTTCGTACTAAATATAAATGAATTTTGTTGTAAGAAATCGTCATATATAATGAACACATAATTACTGGTTGCAGCCAAAGTATTAATTGACCGTTTAATTGCTTCTATATTATCATCAATGGTAAAATTGAGCAGTTTGTGTAGATCTTCTTTAAAAATTCTGAACTCAGAATGCCTTGAAATTAACAATTTAATTGATAAGAATTCTATTGTCCGTTCAACGTATTACCTAAATTATTTTGTGGTTGTGTCAAGTAATTTATTTAAGTATTTTATATAATAGTCGACTTTGATTCTTGGCTACAGAATTTCTTTATTTCTAGAATGTAGTAATATGCATTGATTTAACAAAATTTTAAGACTTCAATTAAATCTTTGCTCCTAAATGCTGTCCACGCTTCCAACAATGTATAGCAACAGGCTAAAAGGTACCATTAAAAATTGGTACATTCGGATCGTAACAGCATCGCCGTATTTGCAGCTTAAAACCCGTAGTGTTTCAGCAAAATTCTTTCTTCTGATTGTTAAGAAAGAAGCGTACTCCTGTGTTTTCTGGAACTTTGGCCTTTGCGACTTTGGCCGAGAAGATATTTCGGTTAGTTTCGTCGAGCGCGTGGCAATCGGCCAATGTCGTATGTGCGAGGCTGCTCCGTGATCGAAGCATGATGTAGTTTATTGTGAGACTATTGGAAATTATTTCTGTGTGAACGTTCTACTGCTAGAAAATTTCATTGTCAGTTTTTATTGTTTGGTCACTATATTCGATAATATTGGGTACAAAGCGTATATTATCATTTTCACCATTTTTGTTTAAATATCATTGTATTATGCTGTCTCTGTATCATTTCGTAATATTCAAGTGTCGAATTTAGGCGAGTTTCTTAACATGAAAATTTTAGCAGTAGGAAGCTTTCTTCTGTGCGTGTACTAAACACGTTTATTGTGGGCATTTTCGCCTTCAAACAATTTCATAGAATTTAACCGTTGCGTTTTATTCATGCTTGACATTTATTTCTGTTGATTTATGAGACACCCGTCGTACAATTAATGTTAACACCCTCCGCGACCGTTACAGCGTCACGTTGTGTTATACCTGAGGGATCTGTATTATTTTTCCCGATACGTATCCTGGGCCATCACAAAACCTGTTAAATAAAAAAAATTGACAAAGGTGTATTTTTAATGTCATTGCACTTATTTGTAAAATGTTCGAATTAGTACAACAATTTTTCACGAGTTATGATAGTTAACGGATCCGTAGAAATCTTGAATCACTGATATTACTTTTAAAAAGATCGTTCTACTCGACTCGACGCTAAGATTCTTGTGCACTGAACCAAATGCACAAACGTTCCCGTTTTAAATAACTTTCTAATTTTGAATGTTGCGCGAATTGCACGTACGTAGAATCTTCGCCTTTAAAATGTGCTTTTGATTTGTATTTAATAACAGCTGCTTTTTTAAAAATATTAATAACGGGCAGTGTCAAAAATATTGCATCGAATGGTAATATTATTCAGGAATTGGTATATTTTATTCCATTCAGTTGTCCTAAAATATTTTGAATATTCACGTTACTGTTTCTGAACTATTTAAGTTATTTCAATAATTTCCGCGCGGTGTTATGTAAGTTTCGAGGCATACAGCATATACGATTGAAATACATAGCAAACTTCTCAGGCCGTACTCAAGTGGTACGTTTGATACTCTAAAGGACAAAGTTGCAAAAAAATTTCTTTCTCCAGTACATTTCACCATTTCGTATTTCTGGAAATTAGTTAAGAGGATCCGTTAAATTGAAATTTTAATTATTCTTGGATTCGAAGACGCAACCGTTTACGGTACAGACATTAAGATATTCAAATCTATAAAAACACTCAACATTAATCAAATATATTTACATATATAGTACGTAACACGGTGTTGTTGCGCTTCCACGGTAGCCGTGTTAAAAAAAGCGTCCTTTATATTCGATCGAACCTCCCGGCGTAGTTGTGACCGGCTCTAGGATGAGGAAAAAGGGAGAAAGAGCAACGGTGGTGGTGGTGGTGGTGGTGGTGTGTGTGGTGGTGGTGGAGGAGGAGTCCGATGGCAGTACAACAATATAATTATACGGCGTGCTGCACCGGTTTTCTGCAGCAGCTGCCGCCGTTTTAGGGGATCGGACAGAGAAACGGACGACGAAGGGCCGTTCCCGGGTGAAGTGGTGCACTGTCACGGATGGTGCTGGTGTGTGGTAGTGAGGAGGGGCAGGTGGGGTGGGGGGTTGCAGGAGGGGGTCAGAAGAGAACACCGTGAGGCCCAGTTCGTAGGGCTGTGTGCCTAATGTGCACAATGTGAGTGCGAGAAAGAGAGGGAGAGAGAAACGAGGGAAAAAAGCGAACATAGAGAGAGAGAGAGAGAGAGAGAGAGAGAGAGAGAGAAAGAGAGAAAAGAGGAGACCCCTCTTTCTGTAGGCATCCTCTACCGCTATCCTTGCCTGCAGCATTGCAGAAATTCGAAAGCCGAGCCATCACGAAAAATATCGTACAATATATACCTAGGCCTGCTGCTCGGTCGAGCAGTTTTGCTCCTTGTGAAGAGCAAAACTGGCTCCCTTTTCAGACCGTTAGCAAAACTTGAATGGAGGTCAGGGTCCCTTCTCGTCCCTCCTTTTTCTTCCTTCGTGGTACCTTTCCTGTGTCCTTCTTTCGACCGTGCCGGTTATGCCTGTTCTTCTTCCTTTTGCCCATCCACCATGGCTCTCTCGCCGGTTTTCCCCGGGTACTCAAGGGTTCAGCTTCCGCACAGAAAGGGATTTTGATTCGTCCCCCCCCCTCTCCCTTTTTATGCATGCACGATGGAAGAAGACTCATCGCTTCGACGGAATCGAGGGAGAGAGAGAGAGAGAGAGGGGGGGGGGACGTGTGTAGGGTAGATGAGATACTTCGGGCATGAACGTGTACATCTGTGCGCATTTGTTTGTGCATTTTGCGAGGATCACGTGGAACGGCGCGGCGCGATTCGTTGAAGGGTCGCGCGTTACGAGTTACGAGCATTCAGTTTTTCATGCCTGCGTTCTTTTCTTCTACTTGCCCTTGTTGTGCTCCATTTCGTGGTGTTTTTGTTCCCCTTGGATGGCCCGTACGTACCTATAATAATCTTTCATAAAAAAAGAATAGTCATTAATTGGTCAGTTCTTATATGATTACAAACGATTCTCTCCGCGAGACTGTAAATGTTGAAATAAATATTAAATTTGCGATTATGGAAAGAGTTAACAGCGTTTATTAGTAATATAAAATTTTGTGTAAATAGACAATTCCCTTTGTACATGTACACATGAATAATTTCAATCTTTCAAGTCATAGTTGATGCAATTTGGTTAGTATTCGAAGAAAATGTCGATTCATTACTGCGCAGTTCAGGAATTATTATCATACTTTTACATATATCGTATTCGTTTTACATCTTTTAAGTAATTAACTTTGCTTTTTTTAACCAAGTATGTAAAACTTTATGTTTCTGCTTACTATGAGCCATAATTGCTTTAAACTGTGTCTATAATTCTTAAGCCCTTGAATAAATTTATCAAGCAGCTGGGTGAAACATACGAAATTTTACATATTATATCTTTATGTCTGTAGAAGGTATTATTTTGGCCGTAAAAATAACGATATGATTTCTACGTACCGGGATCGTCATTAAAAACTTTTTTCCACGCGTTGAGCATGACTGTGGTGGTGATTTCAACGCCTACGTAGAAAAGCGCGTGAACTCTTCCCCCCCCCCTGCTTTCTTTAGTACTGTAGCATACAGTTCGCTAATATAATATTTGAATTCTAGGTATATATATCCCATATTAGAAATTTGTGCAAGTGTGCGCAGATGAATTCATGATCGGTGAACATAAAGAACTTTATTGTGTATTTTCAGGTAACCAAATCACCGGTCGCCTAAATGCAGCTATACTTGTGACGTAATTAGCGTTGATCAAAGTACCACAGAAGGTGTCAAAATTGAGCAAGTCGTCGTTCCATCCGGCGGTGATCTCGCCAAAATTTGGAGGATGTTGATGCCTGGTGCCGCTGGTCTCAGTGCCGTCGGCGCGGTAGGCGCCGTCGGGGCCCCAGGGCCGGACGAGCTGGTTTCGAGTTTGGGCGCGTTGGCCGGAACAACACCGCAACAAAAAGACACCACCTGGACGAAACTTTTCGTCGGTGGTTTACCATATCACACCACCGATAAAAGCCTCAGGGAACATTTTAATGTGTACGGTGACATCGAGGAAGCGGTGGTTATCACCGACAGACAGACGGGAAAAAGTAGAGGCTACGGTTTCGTAAGTGTCGCAAAAACAAATAGTTTGATTCATTTGACTTTCTTTTTTGTTTTCTTTTTCTTTTATTCGTTGATTTGATAGTTGTGAGTTGTGAGTTTGTGAATAGCGTAGAATTAGTGGTATTCACTTGTTCGTTTTAGCGTAATTAGAATCGAGGCAATTTAATGTTTAAATTTCATTCGTAATTTAAGAATGATCTATGGGCATTATTTGATATTTAGAACCAGTGATAAATTAAATAGAAATTGTAGGTAAAACAAAATAAAATTTTGATTCGTACTTTTGGGAACGTCAATTCTGAAAGATTTAAAAGTATATTTTGTCCTCCGGTATTTTTTTTTATTTCATATGGTTTTCTGAAAATATATTATTTTCGTACATTTTTTGTACGAGTTAGTTTTTCATGGAAAGAGTTGAACATTTTCTGAATCGTGGTTTACGGTTGTATTCGTTGGAACGAATAAGTCAAGTGAGTCCGCGAAGATAGTGATATAACTTATTACGATAACGTAACCAGTTTGTAGACTCATATGAGGCAGACATGTTTCGGCTTCCCGTTTGTGATAATGTCCTTTCGTTCAGAAAGCAGTATGCGGTTTCCCCTAACTACTTTATTATCGGTTTCCCTTTTATCAAATGTGCATTATTTATGCGAAGGATAACACGTAAGTTTGATTGCTTACCAACTTGTTTTACTTCCTGTAAAATCAGCTTCCTGAGAATTTCCCGAAAATTCTTCGTGATACAGCATTTTTATACATAACTTGAGAGAATATTAGGAATTATTTGTTGTTACTAATGGTAAACTTTTTTTTAGAAGAAACGGTTATGTATGAAAAAGAGAAAAGTTATAAAGGAAAAATGCTACAAATCTATTAATTCTAGTTTTCAGTGTGTTTTGTAGATAACGAAAAGTTAAAAGCAACGTTAAAAGCAATTGCATATTAAACAATGGAAGTAAGGAAGATGTGTACAGACATGAGAGCACATTTATTTTATTAATGTAATAAGAATGATTCACAGAATTAATCGAGCAAAAACAGATTTTATAGATGTTAATTCTTCTAGTCTTTGCAGTCATTTTACACGTATCGTTAAAAGAAACGTAGGTAAAACAGTGAACATTTTACTTTTGTAATTACTGCAAACGACGTGTAAACGTATTTTTATCTACTTTAATTATATTTCTAATTAGTCACTTCCTACGTTTCATAAAATGCATAACAAACAGTAACACGAACGTACTAGGAAATTCCATTAAGTAGCAAAATCAAATGTTTAGGTCACGGTAACACACGTATCGAGATATCGATTTGAAAGCTGTCCCTGATAATCACTATTCACTTGGAAATTAAGTGTATGAGGATGCAAACGGGTTAACAGTACGAATATGTGGGCGTTGAGTCACAAAGAACAATTAACATCAGATAGGTTATATTAATCACTGGTCAGTCACGTTCTCGAAAAATATTGGAATACGACTCATTTGATTAACATTTTTCCTGTATAACTAAGTTAATAAGAGTGGGGTCTGGTTGAGCTACGACTTTTCATTTGTAGACTGGGGATTTTATGCAATTGAAGCTTGTTGGGCTCCGTGAAATACAATGACAGAATTTTCATTAGGTGTACAGAGCTTTTTATTGTATTCTGAACGTTATAAGAAACCATAAGTTGGGGTAACTTTAACTCACAATCAGTCAGGGATAACTTTGTCCCAAGTAAAAAAATGGTCATTGTCGATTTTGGAGCTCTGCAAATTGTTAAATTGAGTTGATGTTTACATGAAAAGGTATTTCCTACAAAGCAGCTACAAAACCGAAAATGATAATTTTCTGACTTTGAGACAGATACCTCAACTTAGGTACTTAAGAGAAGAATAAAATTCCTACATTTGCTCTTGCTTTGTGAATTACTTTGTAAAATGTCATTTTGCATAAAACTCTGTAGTTTAACGATGACACATGTCAAATTGCCAGTGTGTGCCCTTCTAAAGGCACAATCCAACCAGAGTTACGTCCGTATGTTTGTGTGAATGGAAAGAAAAATCAAGTGAGCCGTGTCTACAAGGTACACAGAGAAGTTTGAACCGGTGGTTATAAGGGGGAGAAGTGCAAGATCCAGGTGGAGCAGTGGGATTAGTGAAATAATCGATCGGATCTGCACGCAGGTGATCATGGGAGACAGACCGGCAGCGGAGAGGGCGTGCAAAGACCCCAACCCCATAATCGACGGTCGCAAAGCAAACGTCAACCTGGCGATTCTTGGAGCTAAGCCCAGGGGTAATCTACAAGCGAGTAAGTTTGCTTAGACCGATGTACTTACATGGTCATTCGAGTGTATGCTGGCGGGATTGTGCAAGACGTTAGAAACAGATTCGGCGTTTAAATGGTAGTGTTTGACCTATTGCTGCTTGAGTGAAGTTATGCTTTGACTTCGGTAAATCTTGGTTTGTACGCCGAGCTTCATTTACAGCGTTCTAGGTAGTTAAATCTTTGCTTCTTGAGAGGAAGTGCAAGGTATTCCATGTTTGAAGTTATGAATTTTCTGTGGGTCTAGGTGAAACGTAAAAATTCGTTTATTTTGTGAAATGAAAACGTGTTCAACTCTTTAAGACCGGAATTATGTCATCGTTATTTTTTTACCGCATTTTTTATTCCAGATGCTTGAAAACTGTTCAAATATGGTTTTCAAAAGTTTTTTTATTTTTTTTTTTATTCAAACAACTATATAAATATGGTGTCTGAGTGCTGGCACCATTTTATAGCATCTCACAGGACTTCAAAGTTCAAAGAAGTAGTAAATGCTCATAGGTCCTAGCCGGATTCTTAGAATATTGGTTCATGGCATCATTGTATTGTAATATAAGTGATATTACAAAGTACCTACTGTCAGGAAATAAAGGGTTAATATTGTTGGTTCCAGTAATTACTTTATGATTAATTGTAAGTGGCTTGTAGTTAGACATTGGAGCTAGTTAATATTAAATGTATACCAAACGGCATTATTTTTGTATATTTTTATCAGCCTGTTGTGAAATTGATTAATAATTTAATAGAATTTTACTCCTCGTGTGTCACCATAATCAAAATTTTTTCTAGTGTACACAAAGTTTATTATATAATAATGTTTTTAGAGATTATTAAATATTAATTTCGATCTGTCAACGTGGATTTATCAAAATAGAATTACAATATTGCTATAATGTCGTAAACTATAGTTACTAAACCAGTATACATGAATGTTTAACCCTCGAACCGTCAACCAACAACAGGCTGATCTGGGTCACATTTGACCCACATTGAAGTTTTAGGTACTAAATATTATCTAGCTTATGTTATTGGATCAGAAACATGGGTTAGTAGTGACCCGGCTCGGCAGAGCGAGGATTAAAATAAATAATATGCCATTTTTGTTGGACTTTTGTGAATATGTTTGGAAAATACGGCACTTACGAACTCTCAGTTTGCAGAAATGATCACTTGTGATCCTCCGTTTAACGTTTGCGCGCAACCATCATAGGTTTTACGTCGTTGAAACGTCGCCAGATCGGTAAATCTTGATCGTCGCTGCAAATGGACGTCATATCTCTCGAGCGAGAAGGGAAGTAATTCTTTTCCTTGATATATGGAGGGCATACGTCCAACATTAAGAAAATATTATCACTGCGGGGTTGTGTTGTTAGTGACCCTAACGGTCGATGTTAATTAGGAGACAATGACATTAGTGTCTCACGGGCGAAATAGACTTGGATTCTGATTTCGAGCCAATCCGAAATGAAATTTTTTGGCAGATAACAGGCCTTGCCGCGCGTACTCAATTAGATCCGTCGAAAGTAGACTGAAAGGGCGAAGGGCAGATTGACGAACGTCGACCATGCAGATCGAGAATCGTCCCTGCCTGAGTCACTCTCTTCGAATTCACGCTGTGGCTTCAGGCCAACATAGCTTGGCGCTTCGACACCTAAGTCTAAAATTGCCCTAACCCACAGTGCCGGGTTTACCTTTGTTTCTTTTCATTTGCGTGCAAAGATCACGTTTGCTTGGATACCAGCTAATGATGTTTAATATTAAAGTGTGTTATAGTGGAATACAACAACATAATACGTCCCATTTTTAAAGAAACCTTGATAAAAAAGTATATTATTTTTCAGTAATTCTTTATTTGATTTGTCAAATGGTATTCATTTTTCTTAATTATACTAATTATGACCAAAACCTAACAAAAAGTTTGAAACAAAATAAACAAGTAATAGAATTAGGAATAAAAATAGAATAATACTTGATCAAATTAACAAAGTTGAATTTCTTTAGCATTCACCGCCAATTATTCAGAAAGTGAAAATAAAATTTTTTGTATATGTTTTGAAGAAACTTAATAATCACGTTTATATTTTAAGAGCGTTTGTGCCTTTACTTGTGTGCCTAAAATTATACCGAGGCGTTTTGTCAACCAGGATGTATTACCTATGTAGTTTTACTATAAATGAACATGTTTTTTTACTTCTTGTTAAATCTAAATCAATTTCAGATTAGATATTTAATACATTATTCGTACTGTAAAATTAATTACCATGAGTGACTATTTCTCGTGAACAGTAATTTGACGATTATAGAATTATGAATCGTGTTTGTAATAGAAAGTAGTTTTGCAGATAAATTAATTCGTACTGACAGTTAACAACTTGGATGGACAAACGTGTTTTCAGATTTGTGAATTTTACCGTAGAATAATACAATTATTATTCAATTGGTACGAGACTATGAAGTTGTACGAGTGTTATGAAAACTCACGCGGTTAGAGAGTCTCCATTATAACGGATGATGTCCTTTTACGCCATTTAAGCAATTGAAGTATACTTATTAGATAACCCACAGAAAATTTAAAACTTCGGAAGGTATAGTAGAATGTTGATTATCCAAACTAGTACGGAGACAAATCTGTTCTGATACACGTAATTGGAAATAAAACAATTTTTAAACATACAGTGTCAGATAAAAATAACACAAATAAATATTTGAACAGATTCGACGTATTTGTAACTTCGCAATGGAATGCAATAGTCCGTTGTTCCGCCAATTTTTCATTAATGTTATTTCCTTCAACAAAAACAGACGAAACAATATCATCTTTATCCATAATTTTATATCCTCGGTTGTCCTTACCAATCATTTCTGAACATCATCACGATCGTAATTTTCAAATTCGTTATATCCTATTACCAATAGAGGCGTTGTATAATTCTTTTATAAGATGTTCTGATAATCGGTATATTGAATGATCGACGTTTTCAATAACCGACGTTCTGCTGTACTATTTTTATTAAACGTATCAAAATAGACATAGAAAAAGTTTAAACGTAAAAATTGTACTATTTTTATATTGCATGCATTGTTGTACAATTGAAATTTATGAGAGCTAATTGCTGAGAAAAGGATTACATTATTTTAATATATTTTTATATAATATTACAGTAGAAAATTTATAGAATTCCAATTAGAAAGACATATATTATATTTCAAAGTATTTGCGTAAATTGCTATGCCTAAGTTTATATGAGTCATTTGACACACATCACCGTAGTCTGTCGTCTAGTCTGGCTAAATACCAATAATCGAAGTACACATTATATACTTGCAAAGAATAGGATGCTAGATTTGCACGATGACCGTGTACACGGGCTGGGGTGCTCTCGAGAGTTCAGGGCTGGACATTAGAAACGTAAATAGGATTGACTACGGACTGTTTATGATTTCAGCATTCCCGTTCGCTGCTGGCATTCGAGCTGGATATCCCACGGTTCTTCCTGGCCAATATGGGTGAGTCCACGTTGATGTAATTTGTCGAAGGATAGTAAGAAACGTATTACATGTCATTTACTGTAGTTACAAACAAGAAAGTAGCGTAACTCGAGAGGTGTTCCCGCGATCATCAAATTTTTAAGTTATCATCACTTGAGCTGATCTCGTGTACAAACGTAGAGTGATTAAATACACACTATCGACCGTTATCATTTTGTCCGAGTAGGAAAAACATGCTTTTGACAATAAATCGACGGCAATTTTAAACATTCGTGTTTTACACAAAGATAAGCCACGGTCGAAAAGTTCTTGAAAAAATTTTCCTCAACTTTTTTTTTCTAAAACTCACGATCGATTTTTTCAAACCTGCCGATGCGAGATAATCGTTTTTAAAGAGAACGATAAAGTGTCTCGAAGATTGACGGGAATTAAGAAATGATATTATTCTGAAACGAAAGGTATACCTCGACCGAATAACTGTTGCTAATGTTTTTTTAAAGACAGTCTGTATATAACGTTTCAGCATCCTGACGCGTGCGCGTAAGGGGGCAGGCTGAGCACTCCTCTTTGCGAGAATCCTTGAGACCGCCAAGGGCTGTTCTAAGGAGCGCAATTAAACAAAAAAATATCCCGAATCAGAGACGAACAGAAAGAGAGAGAGACAGATACGAAATGAAAAGAAAAACAAAACATGAAAAACGGCAGAGATATTTGCGATCGGTGAAAAAAGAGAGAAAGAGAGAGGGAGGGAGAGAGAGAAAGAAAGCGGCACACGCACACGTATCGGAAGGCCATGAGTATCCATGAATTTCTTTCTACGAAACGCAAAATCTTCCGAGGATATATCGGTCTCTTCTTTTTCTATTGTTTTTTTTGGTTGTGTTTTTTGTTTCTACTTTCTTGATGAGATTTGACGTTGAAGTGATATAATTGACGATTGCGGTTGCTGAGAGATTTGTTTGTTTACTGGTTTTGACTTTTTTGGTCTTTACTCTTTTACACTCTTTTTCTTAATCAGCATAATACACAATAATCGTAATAATAATGTTGATTGTAATAATAATACAATAATATTAATTACAATAACGACGATGACATATAGACAGTGATTACCGATTTGAAAGGGTAAATACTGTTCGATTAATTCGCAATATACAGTGTTATTCGTTCGTTCAGCCAACAAGGTAATAACAATGCGAGAAAAAAAAATACGTGACACGTTTCTTTCCTTTTTTCTCCTTAGTGTGTAATTTAACCACGAACAAAGAGAGAGAGAGAGAGAGAGAGAGAGAGAGAGAGAGAGAGAGAGAGAGAGAGAGAGAGATATTAAATACCGCAAGATCTCAAGATGGCGGACATTTATCAGCAAGCAGTCAGAATATTTCGCCGGATTTGAGAATAATTACTTACAAATTAGTTGCACCCCTTACGGGTTGTTTTTTTTTCATCACCTTTTCGTGTTTCATTGTTTATATATCGAGTGTGTTTCGTCAAGTATACCCTGTTTCTTTTTCACGTTTGAACTCGTTTACGTGTGCACTTTGTTATTTTAAGGTTTTGAGTTTATTATTACATATATAAATATATATGTCCATATATATTTATCAATTTTTTTTTATATCGTTTTGGTTTGCCTTGGTGGCGAGTGTTCGCCGGTTTCACAAAATTCCAGAGTTCCGAGTCCGCCGAGTCTGATGGGTCGGCGCGCGGTTGCGTCCGTTTCATTTTTAACGTTTCCGCGGGCTGTTAGTACGGCTACAATAATTCGCGCGAAAACAGCGTAGGCAACTGATTCCCAAATATTTATTCGTTCGTAGCTCGTGGCCAGCGTATGGAACACCACGCCGCACACAGTGGTCTACAATTAAATTTTAGCTGTTCAGGCTTTTGAGTAAACACACAGGGATTAATGATTCTTGAACTAATGAGTTTTATTATTTTAAAATTGAATAAAGAACAAAAATGTATTATTATATGTATTCCTATTCAAGAGCGATAAGATAATTCGATAACAGTGGGTGTGTCATGTACCGAACAGTTAATGAACTTTATAAATTATTTATTCCCGTCATGGAAAATCCATTAAAAATTTATCAAATGCTTAAAAACAAAGGAACAATACCTAAAGACCAATTCTACACTGCACACGTGACAAAACCAATGAAACTTTTGATACCATATTTTTTCATGTCTTATTCTTTTGCCATATTGTCTCAGAACCGGTCTGTAATAGTTTATGATTTAGATTCATTTTTTAAAAATTCATATAAACAGCTAATTTTCAATTCTGGACTACTGTGCGCCTTGTATGTTCCGCGAAATTTCAAACTTTTCACGCGGGAACGTCTCGAGCTCATCGAAAATCGAATCGAGTGAAATGTTTTTCTTTCGACTTCGATTGTCCAGATGAGAGAGGAGCAAAAATTGCGAAAAAAGGAATTACGAACGAAGATTCTACTGTATGCAGTAGAATCCCGTTGAATTATAAACGACACGGCCGATTCTCCGAAGCGGTGGATCTTCCGTGTTTTTCGCCGGAAATCGACCCGCACCGCCGCGAAACACGACAACGTTCGTTAATTTTTTATCGTGACAATCGATTTTATCGCGGTTTACCTCGTTTGGCCCGGTCAGATTCTTTGGCGAACCGTTGAGAATTGCAGAGAGATACCGAATCCGTATAAGAAAGAAGTAATACATATGTATTATACATATATGTATAGACGGTTTGTCCCAAAAGATTCCGAATTGAAGTTAAAACAACAATTTTTCGTATGATACTCTCGATTTTTACTAACAATTATTGAGAATAGTTTCGTTTTGAAGTGATATATTGTTCATGATAATTATACAAACACATTTCAAAATGGCGGAGAAAGTAGTCTTCGACGTTCTGTAAATGTCAAAACGATTTTAGATTGTTATTTCTTTGCCTTCGTTTCCAAGTTAGATAACAGGTATTAATTTGATGTAGCTGAATTAAACGAATGCGGTATGTAAATAATCAAACTGTGAGATACCTTATTGAGATTAAATTGTTGTGTAAGCTCATGGCATGACTCGTGAAGTCAAGTTTTGACCATTATCCTTTCCACCATCTTGAAAAAGAATTTTTAGAACCATTTCCAGAGTTTCTTTAATTTTTGTGAACGGTATATCTTTTGAAAGGGAAACTATTTTTAATATTTGATTCTACAGAGCACCATTAGTTTACGAAAAACTGCTGTTTTAATTTCAGTTTGGAAACTTTTGTGAGAGACTGTGTATGTGAAAAGAACAAACCTATTAAAATACGTCAGTTCCTGGTTTTTGAGCAATTCGCCGCAGTGATTCCCGAAATTTTTGTAATCGTTTCGCGTAAAAACGCGTGCATACGGATTTATTCCGTAATTTTAATCGTGGGTGGAGGGGGTACTTACTAACGCATTGATAGTTGGCGTACAATATGAATTTTGTTTAGATGAAATGGATTATTCGTCGAGTGTAAAGGCTCCGCTAACCATTATGATAATTAATAACCTTGTGTGTGTGATGAAGGCTTACACTACACTTGGTGTCGCTATTGGTGTTGTATTTTTTGGTGTTGTACGTGGTGGTTTTTTGGACTTTAATATAACAATACTGTTTGTTGTTAGACGACGAAAGATAAAAGAAATTCACCGGAAATCTATTTGTACGTACATGTACGATGACGTTTACCGTAATACAACGTGAACATTTTCTAGAAAAGTTGCACGTCAGACGTATGGGAAAACGGTATATTTTATTAATGTTTATCGACTTTTAAAGGATGTTTATCATTATTTCAAAATTTCTAGTTACGTAAAGAAATCGGCCACGACATTGTTTGAAGGGTTCTGAAAAAAGTAGAGACATATGCATATTTATCGCTTGAAAACATTGATTTTTATGCACTTTTGTCTTAGACAGGAAATACATAACTTGAAACGAAAATGTTAGTACATATAATATTTTAAAAGTAAGTATGTGTTATTTCTCAAATATTGTTTCATTATTTGATTTTCCACTATATAATTTTTTATTTTGTAGTCAAATAAGTATTAAATGTACTTTTGTACACCCACGAGCAAACTCGACTTCCGTTAGGGGAAAAAGTGGCGTAAGAAAAGAGCTTCCTACCATTTAACAATATTTATTTCAGGTACTGAAATAAATGTTAAACCGAATGTTAATTTGGCATAAATTTCAGTAATTGCAAAAACTAAATGGTAGGAGGCCCTTTGCCTACCTCACTTTTTCCCCTAGCGGAAGTCGAGTTTGCTCGTCGGTGTACATACCTATAGTTTACTTTGTGGTGTATGCAGACCAATGATTTAAAATAGAAAAGGATTCTGAAACACAGTGTGTTCATACAATTTAAATATTGTGTTTACAGTTAGGGTATTAGCATGTTAGATAAATGTAACGACTGCATAGATTATTTAAATCACCTTTTTGCTCTTCCAATTTACAATACTGCATTTTTTCAACATTTCTATCAGTGTTTTTACAGGTAACTATAACCAAAATGTTCATGACGATTAGAAAGTTATGAGACATTACAGTCACAAGAAACTTATGTGCACTTACGATAAATATTTTAAAACTCCTTGTGTAAGTTTACAGAAGAAGTTACATAATAATCACATCAATTAAATAAACCGAGCTCCACAAAAACAAAATGATACTGTTTCTAATATCATTTTTACCACATAAACACAAAAGCCATTTGGTAACCTGAATCACCAATCATATGAAATTTATCATTCTGGGCTGCGTTCTAAATAATCTTTTCCTAGTTTTCTCAATTTGCGTTTGCCAGATTCGTTCCAATCAATTTGATGGATGTCTATGTCTCGCAGCAGATAAAATTCCATCGAGGCTGAAAGCCATTAATTTAAAACACGCGACAGCATTCACGTATATCGTTAGTATTCGAGTATGTATTTCGATTGTTATATCGTAAGAACTCGAATACTTGGACTATGTAGTACATCTGTAGTATTCGATTGCTTCAC